CCGCCCCCGTCCAGGCCACGCCCCCGTCCAGGCCACGCCCCTTCCGCTTTTTTCATCACTCGCCAGTTCACCTGTCAGGGTTATATCATATTTTATGTTGAAACTGAAGTTGCACTCTTAAATTGTAGCTAACCAATCCCTAACTGTGAGTAGTACAGTTTTATAAAACATCAGCATCAAGCAAATAAACATATTTGGACACTTCATCTATAGACTTCAGAACCATGTAATTAAGCTCGTAGAGTCAGTAAAGAAAGATAAAAATTTGGTGAAAGGTAACTATCATGGAAATGTATTATACCTAAACCATAACTATTTAATATGTATCATATTTCAGATAAGATTCCTGAGCGCTTGTGACTTGGTGAATATATAAAATGTTGCCTATAGTGTATCTTTACACGTTGCAGCTGTTGAAGAGTGAAGTACGTCGGTTGGAGCGTAACCAGGAACGGGAGAAGAGCGTGGCAAACCTGGAGTATCTAAAAAACGTTTTGCTGCAGTTCATCTTCCTGCGATCAGGCAGCGAGAGGCAGGCACTGCTTCCTGTCATTCACACCATGTTGCAGCTCAACCCAGATGAGAAAAGCAAACTGGCTGCCATTGCACAAGGTCTAGGAATACCCAAAATATGTGTAGTCTCTTGACAGGTAATAATACAGTATACAGACGGTCTGATGTTTGCTCTCTGCTGTGTGGCGTGCAGGCGAGGAGGAGGCGTCAGGAACTCGGGGCACAGGCTGGGGATCTTATCTCCACAGCTGGTCTGGGATCAGATAGACCAGCTCAGCACCAGCCAACAGCAGAGGTCTGGATACATGAACATATGACTTGAAGTCCAATAATTTGAAGGGCAAAATAGAGGTGACCAATGAATGTATATTGACAAATATTTTACAGCTCATGAAAACGAAATTTGATCCCCCCAGTCAGACTTGATAGAAGAATAAGTTGCAAGTTGATAGATACAATATATTCCTCTTGCAGTGACATTAATAATGGCAAAATACTGTATGTACAGCATTCATTATTCATAACGCAGCTAAGGTCTCTTCCAGGAGGTGGAGCTCATGAGGCATTATACAAACTGAATCTGTCTGGAGAGGACTTAATTTATTGTGTAGCCCTTTGCTTGAGATTTGGTTGTTTAGTTATTTTCAGGACTCTGGTTCTGCCATCAATATTGTTAATGGTCCAATTCATTCTTCTGTGTGCACTCTTTACTCCCATTATGAGTTGCTTAATTTGGGCTACTCCATTGTATGTTATTTAAATGTATTCCAAATTTGATAAAAACCATTTGCTAGATTAAAATATGATGTTTGTCATGAGTCCAGTTAAAGGTGTCTTATATATTTTGTCTTCCACTTAACCTCTCTTTCATTCCATTTATATAACGTCAAAAGCGTTCTGCATTTAGTGTTTAAGTGTTCTTGATGAAGAATGAGGGAATGGTTTTGAGTCTTTATGTAGTAATAAAATCAACTAGGAATGAACTGGTTTTGTTTTCACAGGCTCCCCTGACCAATATGGCCGACAGAAATTATTTGTTTGCTGATGAGTGATTTTGAAGGTGTTACTTTGGCCTTGAACTCTGAAAAAGAGCATCTGTAAATTTCACCCATTAAGATGTGATTCATTGTTTCATGTTTTTTCCCTATTGTGGAGTGATTTGACCTCTTATTTATTTTTGCTGTTGTGCTTTATTGTATTAATCTTCATTTGTAACTTCATCATGATCAGAGTTTAGACATAATGTGATTATTGGAATCGCTTTACTTTCTCATCTCATTGGCAGCTGATTGTGAGTCCTTTCGCATCAATGATTGTGAATTTTTAATCAGGGTTTCTGTTGTTGATATGGGTAGCATCATCTGGAATTGGCCAATTCAAGCAATTAAAAATGAGGGTCTGTATAGAAGTGATTCAGCATGGCATGCTAATCATCTCAGTGTAAATTATACTTGCCTCTGTGCTTTGACTAGCAATATCACAAAAATTAAGTTCTGTACACAGATACAATAAACATTCAACGTTGAGCTTCCATTGTCTTGTTGTTCATTCAACCCATCACAAGTAATACGTCTTAAAAACACACATTAATGCAACAGCACGATGGTAAACCTTGATTTTAGTTTAGAATGAAAATGTCTAATGAACTGACTTGAATGCTGCTGTGACCATTTATGTCCAGATGTTTCTGGCTGTATATCTGGGTCAACAACATGAAGTTTCCAGTTCGATTTTAAAGCAGAGTTCTTGTGTTTCCAGGAATAACAGTCTGTTGCTGTCACAGAATATCCATTCCCTCCCATAGGCAGGAGGCGGGGTCCTAAGGATTTCCTTTTAAGGGAAAAAAAGTGGCGCTTGTACCATAATGGTGCAACCACTGGAGGAAATAACAAAAGGCTTCTGTATCTGCTGAAGGAAAGACATGCGACAATGATTTTGCTTCCTATGAGACACTCTTGCTGTTATCGTGTTTGTCCGCCCCATCCCAAATTAGCATTCATCAATCTTTTTTTTTCTTTTTTTGCGGTTCAAGCAAGTGACAAGAGTATCCATAACCTCAATGTTGAACTTAGAATTAATAGGTGTGTTTCGAAAGTACCAAGGAAAAATAAAAGAACGCTATTATCAGAAAGCTACTTAACTGGGCATAGTGTACATGACATTTTCTTTATAGGGAAAAACTGCCCGGCTTTAACGTTAGTCAGTTACATTGAACACTTTAGCTCCTAAATATTGTGCTGATTTCAGAGGACATAATATCGAAAAAAAGAATGGGAAATGTATTGTACCTAAACCATAACTATTTAATATGTATCATATTTCAGATAAGATTCCTGAGCGCTTGTGACTTGGTGAATATATAAAATGTTGCCTATAGTGTATCTTTACACGTTGCAGCTGTTGAAGAGTGAAGTACGTCGGTTGGAGCGTAACCAGGAACGGGAGAAGAGCGTGGCAAACCTGGAGTATCTAAAAAACGTTTTGCTGCAGTTCATCTTCCTGCGATCAGGCAGCGAGAGGCAGGCACTGCTTCCTGTCATTCACACCATGTTGCAGCTCAACCCAGATGAGAAAAGCAAACTGGCTGCCATTGCACAAGGTCTAGGAATACCCAAAATATGTGTAGTCTCTTGACAGGTAATAATACAGTATACAGACGGTCTGATGTTTGCTCTCTGCTGTGTGGCGTGCAGGCGAGGAGGAGGCGTCAGGAACTCGGGGCACAGGCTGGGGATCTTATCTCCACAGCTGGTCTGGGATCAGATAGACCAGCTCAGCACCAGCCAACAGCAGAGGTCTGGATACATGAACATATGACTTGAAGTCCAATAATTTGAAGGGCAAAATAGAGGTGACCAATGAATGTATATTGACAAATATTTTACAGCTCATGAAAACGAAATTTGATCCCCCCAGTCAGACTTGATAGAAGAATAAGTTGCAAGTTGATAGATACAATATATTCCTCTTGCAGTGACATTAATAATGGCAAAATACTGTATGTACAGCATTCATTATTCATAACGCAGCTAAGGTCTCTTCCAGGAGGTGGAGCTCATGAGGCATTATACAAACTGAATCTGTCTGGAGAGGACTTAATTTATTGTGTAGCCCTTTGCTTGAGATTTGGTTGTTTAGTTATTTTCTGGACTCTGGTTCTGCCATCAATATTGTTAATGGGCCAATTCATTCTTCTGTGTGCACTCTTTACTCCCATTATGAGTTGCTTAATTTGGGCTACTCCATTGTATGTTATTTAAATGTATTCCAAATTTGATAAAAACCATTTGCTAGATTAAAATATGATGTTTGTCATGAGTCCAGTTAAAGGTGTCTTATATATTTTGTCTTCCACTTAACCTCTCTTTCATTCCATTTATATAACGTCAAAAGCGTTCTGCATTTAGTGTTTAAGTGTTCTTGATGAAGAATGAGGGAATGGTTTTGAGTCTTTATGTAGTAATAAAATCAACTAGGAATGAACTGGTTTTGTTTTCACAGGCTCCCCTGACCAATATGGCCGACAGAAATTATTTGTTTGCTGATGAGTGATTTTGAAGGTGTTACTTTGGCCTTGAACTCTGAAAAAGAGCATCTGTAAATTTCACCCATTAAGATGTGATTCATTGTTTCATGTTTTTTCCCTATTGTGGAGTGATTTGACCTCTTATTTATTTTTGCTGTTGTGCTTTATTGTATTAATCTTCATTTGTAACTTCATCATGATCAGAGTTTAGACATAATGTGATTATTGGAATCGCTTTACTTTCTCATCTCATTGGCAGCTGATTGTGAGTCCTTTCGCATCAATGATTGTGAATTTTTAATCAGGGTTTCTGTTGTTGATATGGGTAGCATCATCTGGAATTGGCCAATTCAAGCAATTAAAAATGAGGGTCTGTATAGAAGTGATTCAGCATAGCATGCTAATCATCTCAGTGTAAATTATACTTGCCTCTGTGCTTTGACTAGCAATATCACAAAAATTAAGTTCTGTACACAGATACAATAAACATTCAACGTTGAGCTTCCATTGTCTTGTTGTTCATTCAACCCATCACAAGTAATACGTCTTAAAAACACACATTAATGCAACAGCACGATGGTAAACCTTGATTTTAGTTTAGAATGAAAATGTCTAATGAACTGACTTGAATGCTGCTGTGACCATTTATGTCCAGATGTTTCTGGCTGTATATCTGGGTCAACAACATGAAGTTTCCAGTTCGATTTTAAAGCAGAGTTCTTGTGTTTCCAGGAATAACAGTCTGTTGCTGTCACAGAATATCCATTCCCTCCCATAGGCAGGAGGCGGGGTCCTAAGGATTTCCTTTTAAGGGAAAAAAAGTGGCGCTTGTACCATAATGGTGCAACCACTGGAGGAAATAACAAAAGGCTTCTGTATCTGCTGAAGGAAAGACATGCGACAATGATTTTGCTTCCTATGAGACACTCTTGCTGTTATCGTGTTTGTCCGCCCCATCCCAAATTAGCATTCATCAATCTTTTTTTTTCTTTTTTTGCGGTTCAAGCAAGTGACAAGAGTATCCATAACCTCAATGTTGAACTTAGAATTAATAGGTGTGTTTCGAAAGTACCAAGGAAAAATAAAAGAACGCTATTATCAGAAAGCTACTTAACTGGGCATAGTGTACATGACATTTTCTTTATAGGGAAAACTGCCCGGCTTTAACGTTAGTCAGTTACATTGAACACTTTAGTTCCTAAATATTGTGCTGATTTCAGAGGACATAATATCGAAAAAAAGAATGAAGGATGGGTCGATTTTGGCAGATAAAAAATGTAATACAGCGGTGAAGATTTACCGAATGTAAAATAATATTGTATAAAGTCAGTTTAAGCCTCATTAAGGGTTCCCTTTTGTAAAATAAAATTCCTTCTACTTGTGACATGTTATAGTCACACTCTTCGAAAACACGAATACATGGGTTTGAATATCGCATAATATGATTTCATTAGCTGATGAATTTAATTTTGTTGTGCAAATATGTTTTGATTTTTTTGGAAACGTATAATTGTTTTAGTTTGAAATTTACAAAAACGGAAGTACTGGGTCCCGTTGGGGCTAGCTTGAAGGCGTAAACCCACCAGGAGAAGGCCTCTTCTCGCTCTGGTTGAGCAGAGACCATCGCTCGCTACTCGCGTTCCATTCGAGACTTTCAACATCTGTCAGCCCGAACGCAGAAATAACAACTCCGATCCGGGAAAAAGCCAAAAGATGCTCGCTGTTACTGAAATGACAAACGGGTGAGTCAAAAATTCATCACTATCTCCCGAGGGGAATATTTTCATGAAAAGTTGGGAAGTTGAGTTTTTTTCTTGTTGGGAAAGTGGGGCAGTACCGGCATTTTTTTCGTCTCCCATACAGCTGTGTAAAGTTGTATTTAGCGCTGACAATATTGTTGATAATATTGCAAGATGCGCGTGTCTTAATAGCGTCAATATCTGCAGTAATAAATCTCACCATCGCCACTCGGTTTACTCGCTAATGTCCCATCCTGTTGTTTTTATGGAAGGGATTGATACTAAAAACATGCTCCCTCGATTTCTAAAAATTTAATTCACTCAAACATAACATGTCCCCGTTTTCTACACTTATTGTCCTGCATTTTTTTTCTTAATAGACAAGGCTATGATGTGACTAATTTTCTACACTGATTGTCCTGCATTTTTTTTTTCTTAATAGACAAGGCTATGATGTGACTAAATAGAGCTCATTCCTTCACTTCAACAGAGTTCCTTTGCACCGAGATAGTGTTAAACTGGAAACAACAAGCACCGTTTCCCCACTTAATCTTTAATAGAATGAAGCAAGTGTACAGTAAACATCAGATGAAGACAACCCTAGTCAACTAAAAATGCAGATAAATATTCAAACTTACCCTGCCTGGGGGGGGCAATACTTGACTCCTTCTGCTGTAGTGGTTTTCATTTAGAATAAACATTCAACGCTGAGCTTCCATTCTCTTGTTGTTCATTCAACCCATCACAAATAATACGTCTTAAAAACACACATTAATGCAACAGCACAATAAACATTCAACGTTGAGCTTCCATTGTCTTGTTGTTCATTCAACCCATCACAAGTAATACGTCTTAAAAACACACATTAATGCAACAGCACGATGGTAATCCTCGATTTTAGT